TGACCCCGTAAGTCCAGTACCCACCTGACACCACACGGCTGTTACTCACCGTCAGCGGGGCTGAGGCCCCTGGCTGCAGAGATCGTGGGGAGCGTGGGGCTGCTGTGCATGGCGCGGAGGTAATGCTCCATGTGGGGGCTCACGTACGGGTGGGGGGCGTTGAAGGGGGACTCCCCAGGGCCGGCGGGGTGGGGGGAAAGCCGGATCAATGAGATGTCGGAGATGACGGGGCTGCCACTCAGGGCAGGAGGCCTGCAGAGAGAAAGAGGAACATAGAGATACTAATGCTGGAGGAGATGCAAAGCGCTCGTATTCCTAACAGAAATGAGAAAAGGAGGAATCGGAGATGCCCCAAAGGAGAAGCTCGGCTTCAGGTGGGCAGGCAGGCATTCCCTGGTGTGAAGCGCTCGGCCGGGATCCGCTGTGAAGGAAAAGGTTGAGATCCAAGAAGAGCTTTGAAATGAAGCTGTAATTAAGTTTGGAATATCATTCCAGCTTCCCTTAGACCAGTGGTTCTCAACCTTCCTGATGCCGCGATCCTTTAATACAGTTCCTCATGTTGTGGTGACCCCCAACCATAAAATTATTTTCGTTGCTACCTCATAACTGTAATTTTGCTACTGTTGTGAATCATAATGTAAATATCTGATATGCAGGACGTATTTTCATTGTTACAAATTGAACATAATTAAAGCATAGTGATTAATCACAAAAACAATATGTAATTATATATGTGTTTTCCGATGGTCTTAGGCGACCCCTGTGAAAGGGTCGTTCGACCCCCAAAGGGGTTGAGACCCACAGGTTGAGAACCGCTGCCTTAGACGAATTCCTTCCAAGCTACGAAGCCTCCCTTCTCAGATGTCCTGTCGACTGTGGCCTGCCTTGGTTCCTCTGGTCCTGGCTGGCATGGCCACCACCCATTTCTATGTCCCGTGGCTGGCCCTCGAGGAGGTGCCAGCTCTGCTCAGCGTGAGGACAGGACTTCACACAAGACCTGCTCGCCAGGGCCTGTAGGCAGCTGTCAGCATGTGAGCTGCGGGGGCGTTGAGCAGTCACCTCCTCCCAACACACCCATTAAAGAAAACACACCAAGTCGCTTGGGAATGAAATTCACCAAAATTCAGTTTTCAAATGTTTTCAGAAAATAGGGTCTCTCTATGACTTGGCAGAATGCAAAGAAAAGAATGTGTTAGAATCACACAAACCTGGATTAGAATCTCAGCCTTTAACAGCTCAAACTGAGCAATTACTTTAACCTCCCCTAGCCTCAGTTTCCTCATCTGTAAAATGGAGATAAAACAGTATCTATTTCATAGGGTGGCCAGGAGGATGAAAGTTCCCAAAATGGTGACGCAGCTGTCAGCCTGCTGTTACAGCAGCAGCACCGCACTTTGAGGGAAAAGCCCACAAGTGCCCAGGGGGCCCTCAGTCTTCACATGGGGTTGATGGATGCAAAAAGCTGGCACTGTTAGAACTGGTTGCTTCAGAGGGAAGAACATCTGCTGGCTGGAGCAGAGCCGAGATCACAGAGCATGTTCAATAGTGCACGCAACTGCGCTCACAGCACAGTGCCAACCGGGAGCAAACAGCTGCCCTGCAGGTGGCTGAACAGCTGGGCCAACACGCTACTCGAGGCTGCTCCCTGGCTTGGACGTAAGCATTCTGCAACCTTATTTTCTAGCTTTCCCGGATGCGATTGCAATGACGTGCAGATCCAAGGAACTCCCAGGCTAATTCCACGCTGCCGCACGTCTTGGCCTCAGATGCCTCCCTGCGCCCTGCACCTCGCTGGGCTAATTCTGTGTCCTCCCTGTAAGCCCAGGTCAGGGGTCGTCCTCAGTGGGATCCGCCCTCTCTGAAGCACCTTCCTGGGCATTGGCTCTGCTTCCTTCTCCCTGCTTCCTCCTCCCCACCCTCCCCTCCCATGTACTGCTCCGGTCCTGGTGGGTGGGTCCACCTTCCAGTCCTGCCTGGGAGCAGGGCCTATCCCGGGTACCTCTAAATGCTGCACCTGGCAGGGGGCTGGCATCCCGCAGAGGCATTCTTGAAACCAGTGAGGGCTGCAGGTCTGTGTGCCGAGCTCTGAGCGTGGTAGAAGGAAGCCTTTCGGATAAGTCGTAAGTCGCAGCCTCAAGCTGTTCCTTTCACAGGCCGCCTCCAGGGGCCAGTCCACGCGAGGAACTGCGCTAAGTGTGAGGGGCTCAGGAGAGGGCTTAGGGCAGGGGCTGCCGTGTGTCCAGGGGGAAAGGGAACCTAACATTCCCACCACAGGACAGATGTGAGGACTAGACTCAGAGACTGTCACCGAGGGGCAGGGAGGATGCCTATGGGGGGCCCTTGGGACAGACCTGGGGTGGGAGGGTAAACGTTCTGGAAGGCTGAGGGGAAGAGTTGAGGTGCTCCCCATTCTCAGACCCTTTGCTCCTTCCCCAGACACTCGGGGCGGGGCCCACAGGACGCTGGTCGGGGTTGTGTCACAGCAGCCTGTGGTCCTAGGGGGCCTGCCCTGTGGAGCCCACTGACCACAGCTGAGGCCCTGAGACAAGCCGTGGTTACACGGGGAGTTAACGCGCCATGTTTGGGCCCAGGGCAGCCTGGGTGTCTGTGAGCTGACCCCACTCCACGGCCAGGTGAGCCCACTCCACGGCCAGGTGAGCCTCTCCCAAGGAGGAGGCTGGATTGGGTGGTGCCTCCCTGGGGGGTTGGAGCCCAGTCTAGCTGCAGAAGGTGGGCTCGAAGGTGGCAGGTGGGGCCTATTTCCCCACAGAGAGCAGCTGGGACTTCTGTCTCCACTCTCAGAGCCCACGTGGAAGAGGCAGACCTGCCAATCAGGTACGCAGTGAGAAGTTTGACAAAGGCTCCAGCAGAGGAACAAACTCCCTAAGTGTCTGTAAGTATGAGGAAAGGCTTCTCAGGGAAGGTGAAATTTGGGCTGGGTTCTGCAGGATGAGTAGGAGTTTATGAGGAAGCAGCATGTCCAAAAACAGGATGGAATATGAGGATGTGTGTGTGTGAAGCTTATGCCTGGGGGTGGAGCACAGCCCACAGGGCGCTTTGGGCTGGATCTGTATTGGACCCACGTCCCCGCTTCTGCTGGGGGAGGGGGTGGGTGGCATGCGACTGAGACCATCCCTGTCCCCAGGCACCTGGGACAGCAGCTTGCGCTGAGCCCTTCGAGAAGGCAGTGCTCTCTGTCCACAGGGTTAAGCGAGCAGGATGTCGGTGTGGAGCTGCTAGGGACCGTGAGGGGAGAGGCCAAGACTGAGGATGACACAGGGACATCGGTGTGGAGAGATGGAGGACCAGCGTGTTGAACTGAACCCTGGGTATGGCTCCAGCTTCACCAGAAGCTAGTACCTTGGCCTTTTCGGAATCTGAGCCAATACTTTGTTTGTTTAAAGCAGTTTAAGCTGACTTTTTCTGTCTTAGGCAACCGCCAAGGCCTTTCAAGGCAACCTTGGCCAATACACCTCCCCTCCCCAGAGCGATCCTAAAAGGCAGACAGTTCCTCAGCCTGTCCGCTCTGCCACCTGCAGGATGTCATGCCCACAGCTGCTGAGGGAGCCATGCGGGCGTCCCTGTGTGACCATGAGGCACATGGGCTCTGGGTAAGAAACACAGTCACCACCTCCCGGCTCTGTGCGCACGCGCTGGTGACGGGCGGCAGCACTGCAGCAGGGCCCCGCCTCGCAAGGAGGAGGAAAAATGGACAATGCAAGTGGAGGCCTCGCTGGCCGGCGGCTGTTCTAGCTGAACTGGACGCTGCCCTGGGGAAGCTGCCTCGGGGAAGCGGCTGCAGGGAAGCTGCGAACATTCACTGCACAATGAGGGCATGCAGCACCCCCAACTGCAAGCAGGCTTCTTGTCTCCATTTCACAGAGGGGAACTGAGGCTCAGGACAGTAAGCAGACTCGACCCAGTGGCAGAGCTGGGATGGACACTGGCCTTCCTGGCTGTGAAGTCGGGCTCGGTGCTGTGACGTCTCCAACGTCCACTGGGAGCCAAGCTTCTGCCTCAGCGTCTGCCTGGAGGAGCTCCCCTTGGCATCACCTTGGCCCAGCGACGCGGATCTGAGGCCCCTAACCAGCAGAGCCATGAGAGGCCACCTCAGCCGGTTCCCATGCTGACCCCAGGGTGGTGCAGGCTTAGGTGAGCCCCCACAACCGTGGGAAAAGCCTGGTCTCTCTGGATTCTGCCACTGAGTGTGGACCTGGGTGGGGCCAGCTGCGAGCCTCTGCCTGTGCCTGCAGCAGGATGGGCAGTGGGCCTGCCTGAGGGTCGCAGTGAGATGGGCTGAACTCAGCGCGGAAAGTGCCCTGTGGCCCTGGGCGCTCGGTAGGCGCTCAGCCAGTCTCACCACCCCCTTCCTTAGGTTCAAGGTGAGTAAACGGAAGTGCAGAGGGTGGAGGAGTGGGCCCGGCCCACATCTTCCCACATCACGTCCCAGGCCCCTTCCCCATGTGCTGGCTTGAGATTTTTGCCAGGAGATGAAAGGAGAGGCGAGGTGATGAGGAGCCTCCCCGGCCACCTGTACTCTCAGGGCCACCTGGCTGGGCCAAGGGAGCATCCCTAGACCCAGGGAGACAGGCGTCCCAGGTCCCTGGAGCTGGGCCGATGGGGACCGGGACGCGCTGCTAGAGGACGCGTGGCCTCCTCAGGGCTGAGAGTAAGAGTCAGAGTAAGACTGCTTGGTGGGTGGAGGAAGGAGGGTGTCTGACCATAGCACAGCCAGAACCAAGGCCCAGGGCAGGAACCAACGTGCTCCTCAATACATCGAGAGGCGGGGACGGAAGCTCAGGGGTCGGGCCCTGGGCCCCACCCATGTGCCTGTTTGGAGAGGCAGACAATGCAAGGCTGAGGGGTGCTGACTCACCCAGATTCAGCAGGAGCCGCTGGGCTGGGGCAGGCTCTGCGCCCCAGGGGTGGGAGCTGGAGGCAGGACCCTGGTACCCGGGCGACGCCCCTCCTGGTGGCTTTGTGCAAAGGCCTCCCATACAGTTTAGCAGGGCCGAAGCAGGCAGGAGTGGGCCCTCTGTGTCCGCTTTGGCCCAGTGACTCGGATCTTAGGTCCCTAACCAACAGAGCCGTGAGAGGGTACTGACCTGCTGTTAAGCCGAGTTCGTGGTGACCAGTAGGAGCTACTGCGGGGGTGAGCGCAGGGTCTGGTGTGGCGCAGGCCCTCGGAGGCGGGACTCACCCTCATTATCACGGTCACCTTTCTCCCCACACCTCAGCTCCCCGAGAGCAGG